TGATGACGACATTATTGATGAATGAGATTTGAAGATCCAGAGGCAAAAGAAGAAAATTTACAAATTGAAGAATGAGGTCATTAACACTAGGGAATGGTGGAAAGTGTCTGCAATGATTGAAATATTGAGCTTAGTGAATAATGTTATATTTGTAACAATCTTTTTTTTAGGTTGGTTATTTGTCTGTGTAATGAGATGTATGTGTCAATCGTCAGGGGGTGAGAGAAAAGGTTGGTTAGTTGTTATTGGGCTCGCCAAGGAATGTGATCCTTGTGCATACGTATTCTCAACAGGAGTGAGAAATCAAAGCGTCTGTAGTTTGGGGGACTACGGGTTGTAGGTTTGTGTCTTTTAATAAACGAGTGTTTAGATCGCATTCTAACTATTAAACATTGACTTGTCTGCTCACTAGGGGAGGCTAAAGCATTAATTTATATGTGTAATATAAGGGAATAAACAAGGTTCTTTTAAGAAAAAGTGTTTTATCGCACTAGGGCGAGTAGTTAAGTTTGATGTGTTTTTTATAGATGTCAACCGCTCAAACACGAGAAAGATATCTCGTATCTAAACAATTGAAAGAGAAGAATGGAAGACTCCATACCCCTCTTGTTTCATCTTTAGGGAAATAGTGTTAAGATATGATTAAGTATTTTAAGAAAATAGTCCTTTGAACACGAGAAATTTTGAACATTCAAAACCCCTCCCTTTATTTTTTTTTAATAAGAACATATTTAATATAATTTTAAGAAACTGCTCAATATGATCGAGGTTTGAATTTGTACATGAGACGTGGTAAGGTTGATGGCGAGACATGCTCGACTTACAAGGTGTTTGAAAATGGGCTTGATATTGAATCGAGATTTATTTTAGAAAAAAGTGAGTTCGTGTGTATGGATGAAAAATAAAGTCAAGACATTATCATTATAACATGATCACATCAAAGACATTGTATAACCAAAAAAATCAGAAATCAATTACATGACAAAAATAATAAAAAAACTATTAATTAAATTAAATACAAATACTTAAATTAATTAAGTGATTTAATTAATTAAATAAATATATTTAATAAAATTAATAATATATTTTTTTTATCTTCATTATTTTGGTTTAATAAATGTAAAGAAAATAATACACAAAAAGAAAAGAAAAGAAATAAATAAATAACTATTAAAAAACAAAGATAGAATAAAAAATAAATTAAAAAATGGCTGTGTAATGCAGCGCAGAACAAAAAAATATATACAGTAGCAGCAATGCAATGTGTGACAGTATCAACAAGAATACGTAGCAAAAACTATCGATTACGACACCCGTTACAAATAGAAACAATAACATACTATCCAACTTAATACGAAATTGAATCGAAAGGGCGGAATTTTTTTTTAAAGTAGCAATGTTATAATTTTTATTTACCAAACAAAATAATGTTTCAATTAATTTACGAAAATGGCAAGGTTTGAAAGGTGGAAGCAGTCATTCGCCAGATGAATTGGCGAATTAGGCCAAATCCCATTTCAACAGATTCGCCAGATGAATTGGCGAATTAGCCAAACCATAACAAACTCGCCACATCATTTGGCGAATTAGTATAACTTTATTTTTTGTTTTTTTTTTCTTTTTATATTATGATTTCATATTTTTAAAGTTTAAAAATTTATTTGTTTTTAATTATTATTATTACTAATTTAAGTTTAATATATTAATTTATAATATAATTAATTTATAATATAAGTTTAATTTTAATTTAAGTTTTATTTTTAAAGTTTAATTTTAATTTTAACTTTAATATAAGTTATAATTTTAATTTAAGTTTTAAAATATAAAATATTTTGATTATTATTTTGAATTTTTTTTTAAAATAACCATGTTAATTAATTATTTAATATTTTAATATATTTTAAGTAGAAATTATTTAAATAAAGTTAAATTTGATTCAAAATAATTATTAATATAAAGTTGAAATGTAAAAAAGTCAGCCACACAACAAAATCAACCTTCTGAAAACCTTTACATGCCTACCACCCAGTCCCAGCCTGACCATTATAGCCCAGACAACTCTTTCAACCCTACCCCCTACAACCACCCCTCCAACCACCCCTCCAACTACCCCTCCAACTATCCCTCCAACTACCCATTATTCGACTACAAAACCCCACAACAGCCCACACAACCATCCCAACCCAATTCAATGTACGCCTTCGGACAACCATACCGTCCATACTCCACCCAACCTGCCAGACACTCATTCGAAAACATGGGCGTCGGGCTTGATTACGGAAGCGCAGTTGACAGTGGACCTTCCGGTTATTGGGGCCAAATGATGCAAAATCTCTATGATATCCCGGGGCCCTCCCAGCAAAACCCTCCTCCAAATGCCAACACACAACGACCAGAAACACCGCAGCAACCTAGTCGTCGACCTCGTCGCAACGCACAACCCCCCCGGTGTGGCACTGGTGGTCACTTAGATAGAGCCGGACAATAATTATATTGTAATTTTCATTTTATCGTAATGTTCAATATTTTGTAACTTTAATTAGGAAGTCAATCAAATTTAATTTTAAATTTCTATGTTTAATCATATATTTTTTTACATTTCAACTTTATATTAATAATTATTTTGAATCAAATTTAACTTTATTTAAATAATTTCTACTTAAAATATATTAAAATATTAAATAATTAATTAACATGGTTATTTTAAAAAAAAATTCAAAATAATAATCAAAATATTTTATATTTTAAAACTTAAATTAAAATTATAACTTACATTAAAGTTAAAATTAAAATTAAACTTTAAAAATAAAACTTAAATTAAAATTAAACTTATATTATAAATTAATTATATTATAAATTAATATATTAAAATTAAATTAGTAATAATAATAATTAAAAACAAATAAATTTTTAAACTTTAAAAATATGAAATCATAATATAAAAAGAAAAAAAAAACAAAAAATAAAGTTATACTAATTCGCCAATTCATCTGGCGAATCTGTTGAAATGGGATTTGGCCTAATTCGCCAATTCATCTGGCGAATGACTGCTTCCACCTTTCAAAACCTTGCCATTTTCGTAAATTAATTGAAACATTATTTTGTTTGGTAAATAAAAATTATAACATTGCTACTTTAAAAAAAAATTCGAAAGGGCGAACGAACTAAAATTCTAACATTCTCTCATGAACCAAACTTTTTCATTGACGGATTTACTTTTCAAACAATTTTATTGGTTCGACAATATAAATAGAAAGGAAAAGAAAACTACACAAGAAATCGAACATTAACCTCTAGAATTCAAATCCACAGTTAACATCATAACATAAGCATGAACCGAAAACAAAACGTATACACAATCGCAATAACCAAACGCACGAAATTGTGAACATCAGACGTCACAATTTCAGCTCACAAATACAGCATCAAGTATTAATAATCTAGTCGAAACAGAATCGTAATTGAAAGGAAGCCCACCGGAGATGAAACACGGAGATGCGAACGTAACGATTCGTCCGTTGTGTGAGGCGAATAACTGCGCCACGACCATCATGTGTCCAAATTGCTGCTGTTACGATTCATCATTGTGGTGTTTGTGGCATTACCAGATCGTGAAATGTGTTGTTGTCGTTGGAACTGCGACGCAGAGGTTTCGCGTACGCTGATGGTGGTGAGCGGTTGGTGATGGTGGAGCGGCGGTTGATGGAAGGGTGGTGATGATGAAGCTGCGATCGTGATGAGCAGAGGGATTCAGATCGGTGGTGATGGTGGTGGATCGCGAGAGAGCAGAGAAAATCACATCATTTTTTTTTGTTTGTGGATCCTGCTCTTTAGGTCCACGATCTCCTTTTATTTTGATTTTATTTCTTCTTTTTCACATGAATGACACACACCCTTTCTCGTTTTTTTCTTTTCAGAATATATTTTTTTCAATTAATAGCAAATACTCATATAAGAAAAAAAATCATGGTTTCTAAAAATATAAAAAAAATGTCTAAAAAAAAAATTTCTTAAAAACTTAATGCATAAGAAAACTTAAAACAAAATTTTAAAAAATAAAATAAAAGTAACTATTTAATAAAAACCTAATTACTTAATTAGTCCTAATTAAATAAAATGATTATTTAGACTAAAAATTAAAAAATAAAATGACCAAAAACAAATAAAAATCGAGCACCAAAGTATCCGAAAAATTAAACTGAATACATTAAAATAATCAACGCAAAATAAACATATTGAAAAAATATAGCGTTTGATCAAATTTTGAAATAAATTTATACCGGTTAAAAGGCTTAGACGGATCAAAATGCGACCGAAAAGTAGTCAAAAAATTAAAATGACTACGCCAAGTTAAACTACGCGAAATGAAGATTAGCATAACAGACGTCTGCAAGCTCGAATTTGAAATTTTTCGTTCACTGATTATTTTTTTTAATATTTAAGAAATAATTCAACCAGTTCGTCTGTATATCCAAGAATTTATTATGGTCCATCATTTTAGGCATTATTCATGATGGAAGACGTGCCGCGCTATGCAAGCGATGCAAACCAAAAATAAAACTAGATAAATGAAAATTTGAAAAAGGTAGGACAATTTTAAGGTATGACAATAATTTAGTCATAACAATAGTAACAGAACCGTAACATAAGTTGTATTAAAGGTCATACCAAAAGTAACATTATAGGTCATACCAATAGTTACATTACAAGTCATAACAAAAGTGACATTGCTAGCCATAAGTCATAAACTAGAAAATAGGCATTGTATGTCATCTGTTACAGTAGCAGAAATCCAACAAAAGTGACATTATAAGCCTTAGTCGTAAACTACAAAATAGACAAAAAGTGGCATAACTAGTAGACATCAAAGATCAACATAAAGATTAGGTTGACTCATAACTGGTTTTAGATCCTTTTGAAGTTTCCTTTTCTTTTTTGGGTGGTTGTTAAGTTGAAACTCCATCTGGTGTTGGTTGGCTTGAGGTACCGGCTAGTTATGGTTAGCTTGAGGTAGAAACTGGATGGTGGTTGGCTTGAGGTAGCAGCTGGTAGTGGTTGGCTTGGGGTTGCCATAGCAGTTGTAGGCAACTTGCAAGTGGCCTTGTTGTGACCATCATTATGACACCTACATCATTTGATACCAAAATTTTCCCTTTTGAGTGTGTCTCATTTCTCATTTGTTCATCAGCCTCCTTGTTCATTTTCTTCTTGGGTCTATCAGACATGCCTTTTATGGGGAGTGGTTGCAGGTCAACAACATCTGTTTTGGTCCAAAGAGATTCTCCATTAACTGGATAAACCACTGGTGTATAGCAAGCCTCGTAGCACTCCTTTTTGTAATAATCAGACACAAAATCATCCACTTGTAAATGTTGATGTTTCATACATGAAATTGCATGACAACATGGTAGCCTTGTCAGCATCCACCTTCTACATGAACACTCGTGCTTTGATAGATTAACAACAAACTTTTATTTTATGAGTGATATATGCCTAACCTCGTAGTCTACTTCACCCGCACGTCTGTTACAAATACAAAAATCAATTAGGGACCAATGTTATATCAACTGTTTATTCTTTGTCTCAAACAAGTATGAAACATTACCTAACAATTCAATTGTTTGTTTTTTGTGATTCCTTTTCCAACTTGTTTTTGATATTTGGCATAATGGTATCAGCGTATTTGGCAATCTTTTGTCTGTTGGACTCACACCTTTGCATCAGATACACTCTTATCTCTTCAAGCATAATCACAATAGGTTTGGCTCTTGCAGCTACAAATACTGAGATAAAGGCTTCTAACATGTTGTTCACCAAATTATCACACTTTGGACCATTTCTAAAACTTGATTTGCTCCATAACCTTGGTGGGATCTTCCAAAGGTGCTTGAATGCCTCTAAAGCTTTCCTTTGTAACCTCACATTCATTCACACCATCAAAAACACCACTACCCTCAACTGCTTCTTCCACCTCCCTTTGTTTCTTTGGTCTCCCAATCTTGGCTTCCCCCACCCCCTTACCTTTTCCTTTACCCTTTCCTTTCCCATTTCCTTTACCTTTTAGTTTGCTATTCCCCTTTCCTTTACCTTCATCTTTATCAATAGCAATTTCTTCAACAATTCTAATTGAATCCTCACCAGAATCCTCAAAGTTCACATTCAAAACACTATCATCTTCATTATCACCAACATGTTTTTGGTTACATGACAACCCCTCATCTTCTTGGTTACATTCTAGTCTCTGATGATCATCTTGGTTACAAATAAGTCCCTCAGCTGCTGAATCAGTTTGAACACTTATCATATAAGGTATGACATCCAAAATATCATTTTCTTGGTTCATACAATATGATCAGTGGTCCCATCTAAAGTAATATCTATTATTGCATCTTCTGACAAAGTGTCCCCTTTAAAGTTAACATCCTGACATGACTCTTTTTGGTTAATACCCTCAGTGGTCTCATCCACATTAACGTCCTCAAATGAACCTTCTTGGTCAACTGCAACTAAATCTTCTACACCAGTGGGTCATCCTTCATCAAACTTGTCACCTAGATTATTCAATTCTTCAATGGTCCCCAAGTCATCAAAAGTTCCTTTTCACCATTATTCAATTCATCCAACATGTCATCTTCCAAATTGTCGTCTTCTACACCATTGGGATCTACATTATTTTCAAGAAGCAATATTTACTTTTCCCCATACACTAGATGCATTACATATAGATGAACATTACCATTGATTAGTGCAATCGTTTTCATTTTAGGCTTAATTGCAATTTTGATCCCCTTATGTTTATTTTTATTTTAGTTTTGATCCCTTTATTTTAAAATCCGAAATTTTTGTCCCTCTATTTGTAGTTTTTTTTAGTTTTGGTCTTCCTATTTTAAAATCCAGAATTTTGATCCTTTTTTTTTCATTTTTTTTTTAGTTTTGCTCCCCTATTTTAAGTTTTGTTTTGAATTTTAGTCCTCCTTTCCAACTTGAAACTAATTTAATATATGGACCAAAAGTTTTAAAAAATAAAAGGACCAAAACTATAAAAAAAAAATGAAAATAGAGAGACAAAAATTCCTGATTTTAAAATAGGGGGGGCCAAAACTCAAAAAATTAAAAATAGAGGTACAAAATTCTGAGTTTTAAAATAGGGGGATCAAAACTCAAAAAAATTAAAAATAAGGGGGTCAAAATTGCAATTAAGCCTTCATTTTATTTGTTCCTGCGTCTTCTTGCAACATCATTATCTCATTATCATCCATTGCATCATAATACCACAAGCTCTCAACTTTTTGGTACCCTAAATCTTTTAACCAACCTAGGATCTCAAAATAACTCCAAAAATTCGGATCGAATTGTCAAATCTCTTCTAACCTCTTGAAACCTAATTTGTTAAACTCACCAAACACACCCCCATGATGGATAACACACTCAAACCTATCACTTATGACCTAATCACACAAATAACTCATAAATGAGACTTCGAAGTAGAAGAAATTTTTAAATGTTTGCTTTTTAAAATAGTAAGTTGATACATTGTATCTTGGCCTTGAAATGAGACAATGATTGAGTTGCTAAGTGTCGACTTCTACTATGTTCCAACTATCGTCCTCTTCAACTACCGAGTTCATCTTCTTCGCAACTGCTAAAATTTTTTTTGACAATGAGAGTGGAACTATGAAACTGAGAAAATAGATTAAAAGTTCGGAATTTTATGTTTTTAAAAATGAAAACGAAAATCACTATGTCACATCACTATAATAATACTTTTAAAGAAAAACAAAATATCACATCAGTATTTCATTATGCTACATAGACGCTTGTTATCGTTTTTTCAATAAAATTAACAAAAAGATTTATTAGGCCAACAGAGATGGCTTAAATGACCATAAATTGTGAGCTATTATTTGACTTTTTTTAATGGATTTAATTAATACTATTATCTATTCTTATCTGTATCTCCTACCACTTCATCTTCTTTAACGTTTCATTTCTTATCTTTTATTTGGAATAAAAAAATTAAAAAATAAAATAAAAACTGATAATCCGCTATGTCCCATGATTAACCCACCCCTTGCGACCCACAATTGCGGCGAAATCGTCCGCATTTTCAAACGTCCTGCCGCGCGGTGGACGGCCACTTCGACCAAACCACCCAGAATTGCGCTGTTCACAACCGCGATTTATAACTCTAAAATAACTTCAACATATGTAAATAATGTACTTATTATTAAGATTACAAAAGAGTTTAAAGGTAGTTCATTATCAATGTAAATAACATACATCCATTCATAATATTTTAAATTGTCAAATTATAACATTATTTTTAAAATAAAAGTGTGATATGGTAAAATTCAGGTCTCTCATTGGTTAATTGAGTGTGATAAATATGAAATAAAAAATAACATTATCTTAAACTAATACTACTATAAGTTTTAGTAATAAAAACATAAAAATAATAATATAACTTTTAACACTATTAATAAAATAAGTTATAATAAGTTTTAACAGGTGGTGAAACAAAAAAAATCTCAAATTAAAATAAAAAAAGTTTTAAAACTGTACTTTTCAATAAAAATAAAAGTAAATAAGAATATATATTAAACAAGAAATGCTTATTTTATATATCCTTCATATAGCTCATTTGAAACAAAAAAAAAATCTCAAATTAAAATTAAAAAAGTTTTAAAACTGTACTTTTCAATAAAAATAAAAGTAAATAAGAATATATATTAAACAAGAAATGCTTATTTTATATATCCTTCATATAGCTCATTTTTGTTTAATGTATGGCTAATCACTTATGTTTAAGTTCTAATAACTTCTCTTAAACTTTCAGTCTTTAACATCACTATAGTCTTAGCTAGACATGATTGTGCTAAAATAGGTGGTTCAAGTTTATTTGAGTTAAAAGAGTTTTTAACTCTTTCGAATGTATTATTTGATCTTATTATTTGAAAGTAGCATTGTTATGAAAATAACATACAAAAGAGTTAATTCATTTCTAGCTTGAACCTTATACTCTTAGCACAAACATGTTTTGTACTTAATGTTTACTTTCTAGATTGTTGAAAATCATAGAAGAAAGTTGATGTAACGGACTATCTCAAAATCTACACAACAGTGTTTTTGAATCCTAGAGAGCAGAAGCAAGGTGCTTCCGAGAGCTTACCTACAACAATAAGCCCTTACTAAAAGAGCTTATTCAGAGCTTTATTACAAGAACTTCTCTGTTATACACAGAACCTTTCAAGTTTCAAAAGCATATGAGCAAGTATCATCCAAAGCACATTTAAATGTAACTTTTCACATTAGAGTTTCTGGGGGAAAAAAGTTTCTCTTATAATCTCATAAATAACCTTTATCCAAAGATGACCTCTACAACAATCCTATATGATATAAATCCATTGACAAATATGTGGACCAATTTAATTCATGTAAAAAAATTTCAGGATCCACAAAAACCATCTCAAGACTTTCACACGGAAGCAAAAAGCCAGAAACAGATACCTCTTATCTAATTGATAAAGAAATAGGAGGATATAGTAAAAAAGCTAGCAAAATATTAATAGTGAAGAGTCTCACATCAGTTGAGTCTTATTTAGTATTCAAGTTCAACAACTCAACGATTGCAAATATCATTCATAGTGCAAGGATACCATTAAACATGTCCAAGGAAATAGAGGATACTCAACTCATACTAATAATTTACCATTGGAGTCACTAAAACGATTTTCATTGTGCACTTAAGACCTCGATCTCAAAGTCCAAGACAGAGTTGGGCTGTATTCCCCAAGCAGGAAAACCACCGGTACCATAAGCATAATCAGGAGAGCACTGCAAGATAATAAACAAGGTGAATAACACTTGGAATATTCAAATTGATAACTATTTGACAAAGTATTAAGTAGTTTTTTTATTTGCAAAAATTATAAACATGATATACTCAATAAGAACATTTGATTGATCAACTCGAATCAGATTGACAAAATTTAGCATATATTTGATTTTGCGGTGAAAAAAATTGATATTAAGTGAATTGATTATGTAAAATTGATTTTGGTTAGAAGTGAGTTGAATGCAAAGTGATTTATGTTTGGATAATTTTATGCAAAATTGAATTGAACACCAAATTTCAATGTAAAATACACTTTTAAACTCAAGCTACAAATTCTAACTTCAAGTAGAATCAATTCTATAGGCAAAATCAATTCTACTTTAGAAGAACCAAACACCTCAAAATCACTCCAAAATCAACTCTACCCTCTATAAACATATCATAAGCAATCTCCATAAGCTCTCTAAAACAATATCACAATTCACGTGTGCTTATATCAATAAATAAGCTCAAAAATAAGTAATTCAAACAGAACATAAACGGCAACAAATTGTTGTAAGTAATAACAAGAAATAGATAATATACCCGAAGACGAGCAACTTCGCCGAGTTGCATGCCAAGGACACCTTCATCCCATCCTACAAACACAGATAGTTTGAACAAACAAATCATATAGTGAATAACTAAGTTTTGAATAGTTTAGAACAAAAGAGCTAATGTTAGGTTAGCATTCTTGTAGCACCGACACCTCTGAAAGTTCACGTATCTCTCTTTACTTGTGTGAATGCCGTATATTGGGCGATAATAATACCTTTGATTACAGAACCTTGGCCGATTTTGAAAGTGAAAGGCGTCTGGCCAGGATCCTTTGTGCTCCAGAACTTCTGAGTTAGATCACCGTTTTTGCCTATTCATTCATCATCACAGACAATTAGGGCATGGATCAATAAAACAAAGGGTGGATCTAGGGTTTGGAGATAAAATTGAAATGGAGAGAGATGAGAGTGAGAGTGGTTACCGTAACCGGTGCAGTGAACGGTGACGGTTTGACCGGAGCGTGGGTTGGGACCGGTTCCAGGTCTGATGATTTGCTTCTCAACTCCCATTTTTCTTGTTCGCCGGAATTCTACTCTTCTCACTTGCTCGACCTTTGTAGTTCGCAACGAATCACGCTTCTGCTTTTCCTTTCTTTTTACTATTCCCCAAAATAATACTGTACTACTTAAACTAAAATATAATTAAGATGTCCAAAATATATTTTAAATTAATTAATAATTTTATAAAATACTTAACAATACTTTATCATTATGTATTCTCACCCTACAAATAAGAACACAGCACATGTTCTCATTTTCTCTCTTTTTTTAAGAACTAGTGGATACTCGATTTTCTCTCTTTCTTTAAGAACTAGTGGATAATAGTGCGGCACGGAGATTAACGTGTTACGTGTATTTGTTTTTAAAATAAAAAATTTATCGTTTAAAAAAAAATTTGTGTTTAAATTTATGTATTATTTTAAACATTTTTTTTAATTGTACAAAAATATAATAACGCATGTGTTTAAATTTATGTATTATTTTAAACATTTTTTTTAATTGTACAAAAATATAATAACGCGTATATTTGCACAAATACTAATGTGTGTTCACACTGAAGATTCGTGTGTTACTCACATTTATTTTTAAAATATAATAAAAATTTATAAAATAGAAAAACAAAATTATTTAATCAAGAAAAATTATTATTTAAAAAAAACATATTTTTATTTATATTTGAAGCATAAATATAATTTTCCCATATATACAAGTGTTTGGATCAACTGAATATTTGAAACATAAATATTAATTTATTTAAAATTATTTATAAAAATATTTATGTAACTATGTAATTTTATAAATATCAACTAATAATAATATAGTATTTATAAATATTATTTTAATTGTAAAAGTAATTATTAGTAATATAAATAAATATATTTTACCCGTGTTTAAATTCATGTATTATTTAAAGGGAAATGTCTTCAGGGCATTTTTTAAAACTTTAAATAGTAAGTTTTTATAAAAGTACGTGCAATGATGCGTAATAATGTGCATTGGAAATTGAAGTGTTTGAATTTTTTAAAGAATAATTTCTTAATATGAAATGTTTAAATAGTGCCCTGAGGGCACTGATTAGCAAGACCCTTATTTAAAATATATTTATTTCTAATTTTTTTAATTGTACAAAAATTATAATAACATGTGCGTTCGTATGAATTCTGATATAGATATTCGTGTGTTTCTATGAGTATTGGTGTTAGTATAATAATGTGTAACTTAACGTATTTATTTTGGATGCTGATGTAAGCGCATAGGTAAACAAATTCAATAAAAAAATTATTTTTCCATTTTAAAAATATTTTATTAATTTTATTTTTCCACAGTTTATAATTTGTGTTAAATTATAGAAAGGAACATTAAATAAATAAATATTAAAGACTATGGATTTAAAAAATAGAGTGACAATTATTTTAACCACTACTAAAATTAGTGGAAGGGTCTAATAATTCTCACTAAAAATAATTTGTAGTTAGAAAGAAAAAAAAAACAACATGATTAAAAGGACAAACTTGTAAAAGAAAAATTTCAAATTTTAATAAACCAAAAAATATGAAGTAATTTAAAGTGGAGCATAGTTAAATATTTTATCAAAATGTATTATAACCCATAAATGATATATTTTAGATATATTAAAAGATTAAATTCTAAAAATACATAATATTGAATTAAATTACCATATCAGAATTTATAGATAGTAACAAATGACATTGTTAATTTAAGAAGATGTAAAATAAAAACTAAAAATTAATTAATAATGTAATCAATATATACTATGTAACATATACATATCCTTTAACAGGTAAGAAAAGATATATAAAAATATTAAAGACAGTTGTGTAAACTATAACAAATGTTTAAAAACCAACTCATTTAGACACATTTAGAAGCAACACACCATACGTGTTTTAAAAGCAATACGTTATCAGTAATAAATATAATTATAGGGTGCATACAGAACAAACGTTTTTGGAGATGAAAAAGGTCAATGTCGCTGATTTCGTCGTCCTCAATGAGTGCAAATGGACCACTCGTGTCAACGACGCGCGGGTTATTAGAACTAATGTGCTTGTAAATTTTATACTAGATAACTTCCTTGATATAAAGTTTTTTGTAAAAGGATTAAGTAAATGATTTATATTGTGTCCTTGTGTAGCAATTTCCTGTAGATGTGATCGGGAAATGTTTTCTACAAAATATGACTTCTATAGAACTATATGATAGTGACTGGAGCGTGCCATACGCGTGTAAGTTGAAGTCCAATGACACTAAGATGGATTTGCACCACTGCAAAGCTTGGTACGAATTTGCTGAAGCACGTTGCTTGAGTGAAGGCGATGTTTTAAACTTCTCCATTCAATATCTTAACCTGACCCGTCTGTCAGTGTTGGTGGTTAAGAAATAGTAGTTTATGGATAGTGCTTGCATTTCGATGTAGAAGACTTGGTTGTCATGTTAGTGTATTGTAGCATATTTTGTGGATTTCAATCTTTTTTGGGTTGTTTGTGTTTAATGTTCGAAACTTGAATTTTATTCTGTAATGGTATTTTTACTGTGTGGGGATCAATGGTCTTGTTGTCATTTCCGTTCTGTTGTAGTTTAATTATAAGTTATGGTTATGTGAACATGCTTGATGCGTTTGATAACACTTAAAGTTTATGTTTATAATGGTATTGATATTATGTGATGATATTGTTAACTACCATTTTTATAAATATTAGATGTTGCATTGATATGTTTATACGCAATCCAAAATTTGAGTTTTTGTCAATGAATGTTCATCATATCCTAGGTTTTCCTTATTATTTGGAAAAGCCATGATAAATTATGGAATCGATGTTATAAACGACATTGATGATCATATATCATATTAAACATTAGTTTAAATATAGGACTGTATTAGCTAATTTGAGAAATGATATTGTAATTCAATATTGATGAGGCAACATTCATTTGTTTCCATGTGAAAGCTCCAGGGATTTGACTAAATTTTGGCAAAACATAATGTTGAACAAGAGGTTATATTTTTGAAGAAATTTTTCCCAGACTAAAGATGTCGAATGAAATGTTCCAGCACGAAGACTCGACATTATGAATGACTCAGCAGGTTTTGTTTTTAAATTTGTTCCAAGATTCAAGGTGCGTTTAGCAATGGATCAAGGGAAGAAGATTTAAAGCCCAAGACAGCAGAAGATTATAAAAAGAAGACCAAGACCTAGGGTAGAAAAACTAATCTCTTGTAACACTTTTGTAAAGGGAAATAAGGGTTTAGGATTTTGAGAGTCATAGACTTTCTTGTGTTGTAAGCCTCCCTTTGTATCAGTTTGATACATTATGGTAGACATAAATGTTTATACAGATTCAGAAACCTACAGGCAATGAATCGTGTATTGTTCTTGGATGAAGCTTTGAAGTAAATCCAAGTAGGATTGTTAGTCAAGGTTGCTTAGCTGAACTGTATATTGAAAAAGGATTCTTTCAAGTAGGATGATACAATTATTGTGACTATAACTGTTAGATATCATAGGTTGTGATTAAGGGAGTGAGATGGTTTTCTCTTATCAATTAGATGTGAATTCTAATGATAAAGTTTTCATTGGTTGTGATAGGCAAACTGAAGGTTGTTTACTGTAAACCAGAGGTTGTTTACATAAAACTATACTACTGATAATGGATTCTTCTTCATGGCTTGGTATCCCCCAGATGTAGGTGAATTGCACCAAACTGGGTTAACATATCTTGTGTTATTTATCATTCTGCAAATTTACAGTTCAGTATTTGCTTATTGATTAATATATTGTAACAGATGTTGAAACATTTGTCGTGATTCTGTTGTTGATATTCAGAATGTCAGCTTATTTATTCTGCCCTTATTTTAAAGTTATGCAGAGAACAATGTCGTAACATGTTGTTAGGACATCTGCAGTCAGCATGTAATCAAAGTGACCTCACATTCAAACAAATTGATTTATATTAGTTAGTCAATAAAATGGCAAGATATAAAAATGAGAAGATGAAACTGTTTACCCAACAGAAAATGTGAGGCTTGTTATATGAATAACAAAGACAAACCACTATAGAACTAATTTAAGGGAAAAATTACAAACAAAAAAAAAATTATAACTTAGCATTGTGGCACAAGGTATATAGTGTTAAGGAAAGTGAATGGCCCAAATAAATAGGGCCATATTTATACCTTTTTTAAGGGTACACACCAACACGGTCATTATGTTATATATAAACAAAAAATGGTAAAAAGGTTGAAATCAATCATGCAATGAGATAAATTATAACTGGGAAAAAATACTGCATTTAATAAATAACTCTTTAGTCACAAGCATATTACATGATAACCAAGTTTTAGAGGCCCTACTTGTAAACAAAGGACTAAGTAATTTAAAGAAAGTAACACAACTTAATAACCATGGTTTCAAACATATCCAATTGTTACATTTGATTATAAAAATAAAACAACAATAAACCTAACAAAGAAAATAATATTAAAACTTATTTCTCGATCTTGATCAGCTTGTTTGAGGACAGTTCACCATCAGCCAGGTTGATAAAGGTTGTTGATTCACTTGACCCATCAGGAATCGATATCTTTTCTGTGGCCGTAACTAGATCCAGGTTGAGTTTTGATGTAATTTCAGTTTCCTGTTACATAATACATGTTCACATCAATTCATGGAACAAAAGGTCGTCAAATGACAGCTTCTCAAGTATGGTTAATAACATGCAATGATCACTTCAGATTCATAAGTAACATGAGCCTCGTCAACACTTTCTTTAATCTATTGTAAATTCAATAAAGCATGTCAGGTTAACATGTATTCAGATGATACCAGTTTAGTAAACTATAATGTAAATTGAGTTAGGTATATGAAGATACACATAAAGTAATGGTGTGGGTGGGGGGTCACACACTGGTATGACATCCTCTTCACATGTTTCCTTAAGCTATTTGATCACATATGTGTCCTGGAAAACAGAAATGACTGAACAACTAT